TTGCTTTAACTTGAAAGAGCAAAGAGAAAAGTTAGGAGCACTGAGTTTATGTTAGTGGGGGAGGAACAATTCAGAAAAGGAGGGTGGGAATGGTTGCACAACTTAAAGAATGTAGTCACTGTCACTGAATTGTACCTGGAGAAATTGTTGAATTGGTATACATTCTGCTGTGTTATTCTCAACAACAACAAAAATTTTAAAATGATAATATAAGCTTTGCTTTGTGTGCTAAACACTTTCCATGACCCTTGGCCAAATGTCTCCTAACAGTCGAGTAAGGTGGGGTCTAGTTATTGTTCCCACTTTACAGGTGGGGAAACTGAAGTTCGGAGAGGGGCCATGACTTGCCCCAGAGCCATCTGACCCCACAGCTCTGGTCCTTAACCACTATACCATCCTCCCTGCTCTGGGTAATCTGACAAAGAGGTGGCACTACTTTTGGGGCTCAGGGGTGCAAGAGGCCAGGCTGGGGAGCCCAGAGGTGACGCTGGGTGTGCTTTGTTTCCTGCAGTCCAGGTTTCTCTGAATCTGTGAGGTCTCTCTACCCCTGCCTCACTTGCTCTGGAGGGGACTGTCACCAGTAAGGCTGTGCCTTGGAGACACACCAAGCCACAGGGGTTGGGTCCTGCCTCCTAGACTTATTTATGGTGTTACTTTGTGCAAATTGTCTCCCTCTTTGAACCTTAGAATCCTCAGCTGTTGAAACAGATTAAAATCCATAGAAGTCACCACTGTATAAATCACTACTGTTGTTATTTCAGAGTGGTGGAAAGGAAATTTTTATGCAACAGAAAGTCACATAAAACAAATGTGGAACGTAATGAGTTATTGTGAGACCAACCACTATAACCACCAGCGGGATCAAGAAATAGAACATCCCGGCCCTCACATGTTAGGTGCCGTCAAGTCAGCTCCGACTCATAGTGACCTTATGTACAGCAGAAGGAAATGCTGCCCGCTCCTGAGCCAGCTTCCCGATGCTTGCTATACCGGAGTCCATTGTTGCAGCCACCGTTGTCAGTCCATCTCACAGAGGCCTTCCCCTTTTCTGCTGACCCTGTGCTTTACCAAGCGTGATATCCTTCTCCAGGAGAAGCCCTCAAACGCCCCCGCCCCAGTCACAGCCTGACTTCTGTAGGACAGTAAAACCCTTGAAAACTGCAATCTGTGGAAGGTGAAAACCTGTCAGAGAAGGAAAACGGAAATGCTTTTCACTAATAGAGAGCAATAGAAAAGTGGTAAGACTACACCCCGTCAAGGACAGGAAACTTGTGTGACCCGGAAAAACAAAGCAGATCCAGTGAGTTCTGGCTCTCACAGGGTTCACTGCATTTCTTTATAGCTTTATTGCTCGAGAGCACGCCCCTAGAACCAGTTGCCGTCAAGTGGACTCTGACTTCTGGCGCCCCCTGTATTTCAGACCACGTGCTCCACAGGCTTTTCAAGGCTGTGGCCTTTTGGAAACAGATTATCAGGCCTTCCTTCCCAGGCACCTCTGAGTGGATTCGAATCATCAGCCTTCCAGTTAGTAGCCAAGCATTGAACCATTTGCACCACCCAAACCAAATCCCACTGCTGTCAAGTTCCAATTCATGGAAAGGTTAGAACTGCCCAACTGGGTTCCAAGGCAGGGCTCCTTTGTACCACCCAGGGACTCCCTATATGCACTGTTGTTGTTGTTGTGCCATCAAGTGGGGCCCGACTCAGAGCGACCCCTTCTTGGGTTTCTGAGGCAGTATCACTAGGGATGTAGATTGCCCAACCTTCCTTCTGAGGAGTGGCTGGTGGGTTTGAACTGCCAGCCTTCTGGTTAGCAGTCAAGTGCCTTAGGCACTACGCCACCAAAGTGCTGTCAAGTCGGTTTCGACTCATAGCCACCCTGTGGATGACGGGATGAGACGATACCCATCCAGCACCCTGCTTGTCGCTGTCCTTGGGCCCGTTGTTGCAGCCACCGTGTCAATCCTTCCTGTTGAGGATTTTCCACTTTCTTGCTGACCCTTTGCTACATGTATTAAACATGATTCAATGTGTAGAGGGTGGGCTTCTGGGCATTAATGCAAGAGGCTGTCTTTGAGATTTGTGGGGGAAAGAAGCGCTTACGTGAGTGTTTGCATGTAAGTGTGTGTGTGGTGTATGTACAGTGGGCATACATGCACTCATGTGTGAGGATGTTCACTGGCAGAACCCCAACTCCTACACAAACAACCCCCATGCCCTTGGACAGGCCACTGAGCCTCTGTGTGACTCAGTATTCTCATCGGTACAATGGGTGGGGTTGCAAATGAGTGAATGATAAATATGAAGCTATGAAACATGCAAGTGCCACTTATATGAGAGACGTTGGTGTTAAGCATTCAGAGAGTGGGGGATGGTTGTTGACACTCCTGGTTTCCCAAGTGCCTGGGCTGTGCATGTCTCCCTCACCTGGGCTGCGTAGCTAGCCTTGTGGTACCAGGGATCCCAGCCTGCCATAGGTGGAGGCCCCCTTAGTTAGGTTTCTTTAATGGTAATTTCTCTAATGGCCCAGAGAGGGATAGGGACTTGTCTAAGGATACTCAGCACATTCTGGGCAGAGGTTGGGCTAGGCTGGAGCCAGTCTCTTATCTTTCTGTGCATGGTGGAAAATCCCTGTAGAGGTCAGGGGCTACAGCCCCCACTCCTCACTGCCTCTGCCCCCCTCCTATCCCTCCAGTCACCTCTATGCCTCTTTTATCCCACTAGCATCCAGCCATCAGCTGCTGGGCTCAGGAAGCTGCTCCTGGCAGGAAGGTGTGTGCTTTGGCAGCTGGCACTGTCTGAACTACAAGGGCTGGGGCTGGGTGGCTGCCCGGGGAAGGAATTCCATGTGTCTGGGGAGGACCCGGCTCGGGTAGCCTAGCCCCAGCCCCCACCACATCGCTGTCTGGGCTGGGGCTCAAGTTGGCATCTGAGACTAGACTCAGTGAAGGTCTTCTCAGAGATTGCTAGAAGAAGAGGCAAGTAACCAAGCAAAAACCAAACCAAACTCTCTGCCATTGAGTCGTTTCCCACTCATAGTGACCCCCGTTTGGGTGTCTGAGGCTGTAAATCTTTACGGAAGTGGATCGCCCCGTCTTCCAAGTAATCAAAGAGGAGAGAATTAAACCCTTTCGTAACCCAGAAGTACAGCAACTCAGAGACCAACGGGGCTTTAACAGCACACATGTCCATGCACACACATACGTGATGCACAGGCACATTCACACATTCATACACATGTGTGCATGTATGGACAACTTGTACTCATCTGCCCTTAAGTGTGTACTTGCACACATGCAATACACACAAGCACACACACATATACACAAGTATGCAGGCACACACACTTGCAGAATACAGGCTGTCTGCCAGACATCGTTCTAAGTGCTCCACAAACGTTAACTCATTTAATCCTCCTAACAAAGCTTTGAGGTAGGTACTGATATTTTGCCTGTGTTACAGATGAGGCACAAAGAGTTTGAATAACCTGCTCAAGGACCCCCAGTCAGAAGTGAAATAAGGGGATTTGAGCTTACACAATGCTCTGTTGGAGTGGCAGCTTAGTGAATTTTCTTCTAGGCTCTCCCCACATATATCTGTATTAGGTTTGGGTAGAAAAATGGGATCCTTCTCACATAGTAACAGGCCTCTGAGGTCAGACAGTCTTGGATTTGAATCCTGGCTCTCTCACGGACTGACTGACTTTGGGTTTCTTCTCCCACTTTTCTGGGCTCACTTTCTTCATCTGTAAAGTTGGAGGTGATAGGACCTGCTTCCCAGGATTGGCTGAGCTTGTATGGGTTAAGCACTCAGCCCTGGGCCTGGCACATAGTAGGTGTGATTAGACAAGGCTGAGTTAGCTGCCTACTCTAAGACGGTCATGTTTTGTGGAGAAAGAAGTCAGGAAATACTCTCTGGAAGTGAGGTAGTCTTAAGATGCTGAGATCTGGGAGGCAGAGGGGAGGCCTCTGAATCTGAGGTCTCCCGAAGGGGTCGCTCTTTCTTCCTGGAGTCTCTGCCAGATCCCTACCCCGACCAGCAGCTCAGCCCCAGTCCTACACACTCCAGGTGGAAGCTGGAGCCGCCGAGAGGGCGGGAGAGAAAAGCCCATAACTTGGCAGGCGAGCTGGCCTGGCTGGAAGGGGAGGGGGCCATGGGGCCGGGATGTCAGATGCCATCAGCTCCCAGGAGACCTTTAAAATCACTGCACTGCCAGGTGGGCCAGGGTGTCTGCAGAGTCCCCTGTCTCCTCGGCCACCTCCAGCCACCTACCTGGGTAGGTGCCCCTGCGGAGCCTGCTGCCTGTGCTCTCTCCTCTTCCTCTCTGCTCTGTGTGTCTTGTCTTCCTTCATCTTTGTCTCTCTCTGCCTCTGGTTAGTGTCTCCCATTGTCTCTTTCTTTCCTCTACTGTATTCTCTCGTTCTTTCTCTCTTATCTCTCCTGATCCTTTGCTCAGCATCTGTTCTTGCTGCCTTTTTGGTCTTTCTCATTCTCTTGTTTCCTGCTTCTCCTTTTTCTTTCTCTCTGCCTTTTGTTCTTTGCCATCTGTTTTGTTCTTTCTTTCTTGGTTCTCTCTCTCACTCTCTCTCAATCCTGCAGCAACTCCAGACAAGAGGACCCGGCAACCTGCTTTGGGGACAGTTGGGTTCCTGTCCTTCTTTGGCTGGAGAAGACTCACGTCTGCCTCCTAGGCTGGTGGGACTGGCCTGGCTTTGAAGTGGTAGCTGCTGTCTCACCCAGGGCTGGGGTGGGTGACCCACTGTCTGGGCATTTCTTTCCACTGCCCAGTGCGCTCAGTCCACTGGGGTGAGAGGGAGGGCTATGGGGCGCCTGGACCAGAGCTGGGTTAGGAGGTCTTTGCTAAATTCCCAGAGGTGGTATGCTCTGGATTGGCAATGCTGGAGGAGAATACTCAGGATTTTGTGTCTTCATGCCCACCTCTTCCAGGCAGCCGGCTCTGACTGCACGAAGCAGACGTGTGACCCCATCCCCAGCCAGAGATGCCCCTGCTGCCTGGCACGGTGTGCCTGCTCTTCTGGGCAGGCCAGACAGCGAATGCCTTGATGGTGCCCAATGCCACCCTGGCACTGGCAAGGCCCGAGTTCACCGCTTTGAGGCCCCTGACCAGCCTGGGGGTGCCCAGGCACCGCTGGAAGCGCCACATCTCTGCCCTGGACATGAGTGCCCTATTGGACTATCACAACCACATCCGGGCCAGCGTGTACCCACCCGCAGCCAACATGGAATACATGGTGAGTCCTCATGCCACTCTCTCCCCAATGCCTCTTCCAGCAAAAGCCAACTGACTCAACTGGGCCTGGAAGGACTGGCTTTGAAGGGCTAGCACATTTGCTGGCCTGGCCCCACTGAGCTGCTGGTCCTGGGATCTGTGGAACAGGGCAGGAATTAGTCTACCCATTTTGCAGATGAGGAAACTGAGATGATTACACAGATCCTCCAGTGAGCAGGGCAGAAGACCACTGTGGAGCACCTACTGTGTACTAGGCACTAAAAATCAAAGCAAACCCATTGCTGTAGACTGGATTCTGACACAGAATCCGCATCACAGAGTAGAACTGCTCCATGGCATTTTCTCGGCCGTAATCTTTACAGAAGCAGATTCCTAGTCCTTTCTCCCATGATGCTGCTAGGTGGGTTCTGACGGCTGCCCTTCAGGTTAGTAGTCCAATGTAAACAGTTTATACCCCCAGGGACCTTCTGTGTCAGCCACTAGATTTATGTTATTTCAGGCACTCTTCTCCCTTCAATGTGGGCATTGTCGTCTCTGTCTTCCAAATAAAGAAATGGAGACTCAGATAATTAATTTGTGCAAGGTCAGCCAGCCCAGCTGCCAACCTTGGTCTGATTTTAAAGCTTATGGTCTTAACCGACACAATACCTTGTTCAAAAATCTTGGCTCCCCAGCAGGGGCCTGCAGTGGTGGAGGTGGGAGGTAGGAGCTTCCTTTGCTAGTGTCTCTTTGCCCAAGGGGTTTATCTGACACAGCTGGGGCGGGGGAACAGGTGCTCAGGGAGGCAGGCTGAGCAAAACCAGCAGCCTATCAGTGAAGGAGGCTAGGATGTCTTCCCACAAAGAGACAGAGCTGGGAGCTCTCACTCCAGCCTCCCAGAAGCCAGACCACCAGTCAAGGAGGTGAGAATCTTCCCTTTATCGACAGCCACTCCCCAGGACCATTGTCCCAAACCAGCCAGGAGAGAGAGACTTCCAGCTACCCAGAGATAACTTTAGGCAGAGAGACTGCCCTCCACCGCCTCCAAGACAAATATATGCCACCCAACAGCCTGAAAATTCTTGTACTGCTGCAGTGTCCATTCACTTTTGCATTAACATGTGCTCAGAGCCTGACCTGGAATATTCTGCAGATACTGTCAAGAACAGGATAGGCAGGTTCCTTCTCTTATGGAGCTTAGCATGGGCATGATAGAAAACAAATAGCAGCCACAACAACAAATGTGTAAATATATATATATATACCAAAAACAAACTCACTGCCATCAAGTCGATTCCGACTCATAGCAGCCCCCACGGGTTTCCAAGGTGGTAAATCTACAGAAATAGATTGCCTGGTCTTCCTCCGGCAGAGTGGCTGGTGGGTTTGAACCACCAACCTTCTGGTTAGCAGTCAAATGCTTTAGGTACTGTGCCACCAGAGCACTATATATGTGTGTATATGTGTGTGTATACGTGTGTGTATATATATGTATGGGAGCTCTGGTGGTGCATGTGTTGTTATGTGCCATTGAGTTGGACCTGACTCATAGCGACCCATCCTTGGATTTCCGAGGCATTATCACTAGTCGCTATGAGTCAGGGTCGACTTGACGGCACATAACAACAACAACAACAACAAATCACTACGGAAGTGGATTGCCCCATCTTCCTTCTGAGGAGTAGCTGGTAGGTTTGAACGGCCAGGCGCGTATATATATATATGTATATATAGCTCTGGTGGTGTAGTGCCTAAGGCATCTGACTGTTAACCAGAAGGTTGGTGGTTCAAACCTACCAGCCACTTATCAGAACGAAGACTGGACAATCTACTTCTGTAGAGATACCACCTCAGAAACCCAAGGAGGGGTCACTATGAGTCAGTGATGACTTGACAGCACATAACAACAGCAACTAGATGTGTGTGTGTGTGTGTGTTTGTGCATGTATATGGTGTCAGCTAGTAATAAGCTAATGGGAGGGGCAGGCATTCCTCCCACCCTGTTGCCATCAAGTTGATCCTGACTCATAGCGACTCTATAGAACAGAGTAGAACTGCCTCACAGTGTTTCCTGAGCTGTAATCATTATGGGAGCAGATTACCAAGCCTTTTTTCCTGTGCAGCTGCTGGTGAGTTTGAACCACTGACCTTCCAGTTAGCAGCTGAGCGCTTAACCACTGTGCCACCAGGACTCTTTGGGATGGGGATAGGAGCAAGAAGTCCTGGTGGCACAAACGGTTAAGGTTTGACTGTTACAGATAGGGCAATGGTGTGAATCCAGCCAGAGGTGCCTCAGAAGACAGGCCTGGGGCTCTGCTTCCCAAAGGACACAGCCTTGAAAACGCTATGGAGCAGTTCTCTGCATACGCGGAGTCACCACGAGTCAGAACTGGCTTGATGGCATCGAACAGGGGTAGGGGCTGGGAAGGCAGGCAGCTAGCTGCAGGTGGGAAAGGCCAGTTACCATCAAGTCCGTTTGGACTCCTGGTGACCCTGTGAGTGTCAGAGTAGAACTGTGCTCCATAGGGTTTTCAGGGGCTGATGTTTTTGTTTGTTTTTGTTTTTCCAGAAGTATATCACCAGGCCTTTCCTTCAAAGTGCCTCTGATTGGACTCAAACTGCCAGCCTTTTTGCTAACTGGAAATGGAAGGAGTCATTTAGTCATGCATTAATATTTTCATTGATTAACACAGGGATTGGCACATAGAAGGCCCTGCATTTTTTGAGCAATGTCACAGTTACTGAGCACCAGTCGTATGTGTGTGGCACTCACCCCTGCAGACGTCTAGTTAATGCAGGTAGTATGACACAAGGAAAGTCATCAAGGGAGAAAACTGTGTCTTTCCAGGGACCTGGGGAGGGTCAGAGAGTGTGGTTTAGATGAGTAGCATGCCCCGTACCTCAGTTTAACCATCAGTAGCACAAGAAAAAATTTCCTTTACTCCCCCCTTAAAGATTATGAATCAGACAACCCTGGGGAGATGTCTGGATCCCTCTGTGGCACCCCCATTTCTTCTTCAATGGTGATTTTTGTCTACGAAACAGGTATCTGATTAAACATCCCTTCACCAAGAAGCCTTTCCTTTCACAGCCCCAGGGAAAGCTGTGTCCCCTGTTCCAAGCTCTCATACCAGTCTGTGCTCCTCCCTGGAGCTCCTGCCAGGACTGGGATGCTTAATTATTCACATACCATCTCATTTCAATGTTAGACTGTGAGTCAAGGACGCCGGGCTCGCTATTTGCTAATGAAGAAATAAAATGAACAAATAATATCTCAAAAAATCTCAGGAAAGTGACTGGTATACCATGTGATCTGCAGCCTATATGACTATGAGACCAGAAGAACTAGATGGTGCCTGGCTACTACTGTCAACCACTCAGAGGGGGATCTATGTAGGAGACCCTGGATAGAGAGCGAAAACAATGTGGAACAAAACTCAAAATCATTTGGGAAAAAAAAAAGGGGGTGGGTGGGGACCAGATTTGCTGGTCCGATAGAGCCTAGTGCAACCACTGAGACTATGGGCCCTAGCTCCCCCTCAGGTCTGAAATTGAACCCACACCTGTGGCTTCCAGCCAAACAAAAGACAGGCATATGAGTTGAACATGTACCTGAGGTAGATATACTCCTTGGAGAGAACAATCATGGGAGAAAGAAGGGCTGTGTATGCACAGGGAGACAGCTCAGGGGGCAGGAGTGCATGGAGGGATGGACACAGGGAAGAAATAACTATCGGGAGGAGGTGGGAGGGGAGCTGTTGCATTGGGGTAAGTTGTAGTCAATTCATGAGACAAAGTGTGTATGTACTGCTGTATGGAAAGTGAATTTACTCTGTAAATTTTCATCCAAATCACAGTTAAAAAAAAAAAAATCTCAGGAAGCTGGAGCTGGAAGAGAACTAGTTTCGTTTTTAGCAATACTTTTTCAGGTTATAAAACCTGGGGCATGCATAGACTGGAAAATCATGCAGCCACTAAGAAGGTGGAGGGACATTTTTTTCTATGTAGTGATGTGGAGTAGTCACCCAGGTCAGCTATCTTGTCAAGTGAAAAGAGCAAGATGTAGAATAGAATGTCTGGCATGCTGCCTTTTGTTGGAAATACTTATGTGTCTGCTTGTCCAGGTATAGAATAGCTCTGGAAGACGACTCACAGTGGGGTTGCCGGGGCTAGGGACAGGGTGGCTGGGGGCACAGTGTACGAGAGAGATGAGACACTGGCTTTCTGCTTTTCCTCTTTTGAGTAATTTACACATTAAGTCTGTGCATGGTCTCACCATTTTTTGAAAAAAGCATTTGAATTTAGAAAATTTAATGTTGAAATAAATAAATGCATTTAAAATATACAATAAATAAAATTAAAAAGCCATTCTCTTCCCACCACCCTGGGCTGAGTCATTTCTAGGGACTGCTGAGGATTCTGGGATGAACACACCAGCGTCTGCTCAGAGCAGAGAGCCCCCAGCCTGACTCCCAGTGAAGGAGACAGAGCACTGATGCAGGGCTCAGAAACTCGGGTGTGGAGCATGGCTCTGCTGTGGACTCCCTGTCAGCCTGAAGTCTTAAGTCTCCTCTGAGCCTCAGTTTTCCAGTTTGTCAAGTGGATTTGTTGTGGGATCCAAGGAGATGGAGGAATGGGCATCCGGGTCTGATGGAGATTCTTCCGGCCTTTCTTTCCACAGGTCTGGGATGAGCAGCTGGCCAGGTCTGCTGAGGTCTGGGCCACTCAGTGCATCTGGGCTCATGGGCCCTCACAGCTGATGAGATACGTGGGCCAGAACCTCTCCATCCATTCCGGCCGGTGAGTGACCCTCTACCCCTTCCCTTTGCTCAGTCATTCAACAAACATATGTGGGGCACTTGACCCTGAACCAGGCACTGAGCTCAGCACTGGGATACAGTGGTAACTGAGACAGAGAAGGCCCCTGCCTGCATGGGGTCTGTGTTCTAATTAGGGGTTGCTCTTGTGAGTTGCTGTCAGGCCAGTTCCACTCAGATGACCTTATGTGCAATAGAAGAAAAATGTTGCCTGATCCAACCTTCATGACTGTTCTATGTGTGAGACAATTGTTGTGGCAATTGTGTGGGGCCTTCCCACCTTGAGGCCTCATCTTCTAGCACCATATTGGACAATTTTCTATTGTGATCCATAGGGTTTTCATAGACTAATTTTCAAGAAACAGATCACCAGGCCTTTCTTCCTAGTGTGTCTTAGTCTGGAAGCTCCACTGAAACCTGTCCACCATGGGTGACCCTGCTGGTGTCTGAAATCCCAGTAACATAACTTCTAGTATCATAGCAACACATGGGCCACCACAGCATGACAAACTGACAGATGGGTGGCGGCTAGTTAGGGGAGACAGACAGTTAGTAGGAGCACAAATAAGTACACAGACGGCTTCAGAGAATGCAGGGTGATTTGAAAGCACATGGGGCAGAGTAAATGTATGGAAGGTCATGGGGAACAGGGTTTAGGGTGGAAGCTGCTGATGGGTGCATCCGGCCAAGGGTGTTCCACCCAAATCTGAGGATGGCAATGCCTACACTTCTGGCATGACCTTCTCATGGTCCGTGGAACCTGGTGACCTGAGTTCTGACCTGTTTGGCCTTGGGAAGTGATTTCCACTTTCTGAACCTCGGTGTCCCCATCTGTAAAATGAAGGTGTTGGCCTACTTCTGTTCTTTCCAGACTTGCGAATTTCATAGACTGGTATAATTTCAAAGAAAACATTCGTAGGACTGCTACTAGGTTGTCCTATTTTTATTTCATCAAATAATTTCATTAGAAAAACAGCTACCTTCCCCTCTCCACCACTCTGCCATAGTTCCACAAAAGCCCAAAGGACGTAGACCAGACTCAAGGCCAGTCCTTTCACTTCAGCTCAATGGAAACTCTGTGCCCTGTTTGCATTTTTTCATGTCATTGGCTGTCAGGCCAGCGCCAGCATTGGGAGCTATCAATGGTCCCTAAGAGCTCTCCAGGGCAGACATTGGGTGATTCAGTCTCTCCTCAAGCTCACTGCCTCCTCCCCTCTGTCAATAAGCTCTTCCTGCCAGACTCTATCCCCCACCAGCCCAGGGCCATCACTTGAGAGGCTCGACGTTGGGATGAAGATGTGCTGTTATAAATTTTGAGTGTGGATTCACGCAGATTTTTTCCCCTGATCATCCCTTTTGTGTGATTTGGGCCTCTGCTCCCTGTCATGTGAGTAGGACAGAAATGATTCTCAGGTCCCATCACATGGCCTTTTGGACTGCAGAACACCAAGGGTCTGCCTTCTCATCTCACACCTCAGAAGCCTGGGAGATGGCTCAGTGATCCTTTCCTTACCTAAAAACATAACCTACCCTGACTGAAGTGCCTATCTCGTGCCCGGCCCTTCGTATGGCAATACCACCTACATTTTATTGAGCAGTCACTATGTACCAGGTACAGGCAAGCATTTTTTTAATGGACAATTTCCAGTGACCTTTAGAACCCAGGAAGCGAGGACTGCTGCCATTATTTTCATCTTATAGGTGAGGAATCTGTGGCGAGGCAAAATGACTCACCCAAGGACACCAAGCAGGCTGCTGGCAGAGCGCCTTTTCTGTCTCCCACCCAGGTTCCGCTCAGTGGTCGACCTTGTGAAGCCTTGGTCCGAGGAGAAGCGGCATTACTTGTTTCCGGCCCCGAGGGACTGTAACCCACAGTGCCCCTGGCGCTGCAGTGGCCCCGTCTGTTCCCATTATACCCAGGTATCCCTTTGCCAGGGCTAAGGGCTGATGGGAGAACAAATCCTGGTTGGTACCTGAGGAAAAAAGGTGGTGGAAGACAAATTAGATTTCAAGCAGAGGTCTCGATGGGCTTCCTTTTACATATTAAGCACATTACTGGGAGGTTGTGTGTATGTTGAATTGAGGAGAACTGGGTCCTATTTGAGGAGTCCTGGTAGAGTAGTGGTTAGAACACTTGGCTTCTAAACAAAAGGTCAGTGGTTTGAATCCATCAGCTGCTCTGTAGAAGAAAGATGTGGCAGTCTGCTTATGTAAAGATTTTACAGCCTTGGAAACCCAATGGGACAGTTCTACTCTGTCCTGTAGGGTCACTATGAGTTGGAATCGACTTGACGGCAGTTTTGGTTTGAGCACTCCCAGTTTTTGGTTTGAGCACTCACTGTGTTCTGAGTGCCTTAGGTAGGCTGACCATATTCTCCTACCCCAAGACGGAAATGTGAGGTCTAAGGAGGGAGAGGGTGGTTTTGAATTCAGTAGGGACAGACCACATCTTCTAAGTTTCCTACTATCTCTAAAAAGAAGTGTCAAAATAAGATGGCAAAAATTGTAATCTATTTTGAGTGCTGATACTGAACATGTTAAGTTTATTACACATAAAAGTGCAACGTAATATAATGTTCTCATAGGATAGAAACTTCCAATTGTATGACAAGTTTTCTTTCAGTGTCTCTGTGACTCATTTGGAGATGATCTCAGAAAGCTACATGTGTGAGGCCCTCTAGGAAATGTGAAAGGAGCTTGGTGGAGCAACAATCAAGCACCCAGCTGCTAACCAAAAGCAGTCCGAACCCACTCAGCAACTCCAAGGGAGAAAGACTTAGTGATCTGTTCCCATAGATTACAGCCAAGAAAACCCTATGGGGGCAGTTCTCTTGTTACATGGGGTCACTATGAGTGGAAATCAACTCAATGGCACCTAACAACAGCTACAGGAAGTGTGAGGCCTGAACCAAATGTCCTTCCCAACATATCATGAGATATTATTAACTTCGTTTTATCAACGCAGAAATCAAGGCACAGAGAGGTTAAGTGACTTAGTCAAAGTCACACAGCTAGTGATATTGGGATTCTGATCCAAGTCTGTTTGACTCCAAAGTTTGCATTTTAACCTCCAACACAACAGTGATTTGAAATTGTGGGTTGAGACTCGTTGGAATTATGGGATTAATTTTGTGGCTGGTCATTAGCAAAAGAGAATAAAGAAAATTAATAGAACAGTATAGGACAAAATATTAGAGTACATTTTATTACACATGATAAGGTTAAATATTGTTTCATAAAACTTTTGTTCCAACTATGCACATGTGTGCATGTATGTGTGTGTGTGTGTGTGCGCACACACCGGGCAAAAATATACATTTATTTCTTATGGTTGGTTGAAGTAAAAAAAAAATTGAGAAACATTATATTCTAATATTATGCCCCCTCATCTTAGGGCAGGAAAGACTGGCTCCCCCAGGAAGACCTTGCCCAATGCACCGTCCTGAACCAAGTCCAGGGCTCTCCGGTCCCAAGGAACTGAGCCCTTCTCATAGCCTCGCCTTCTCTGTCTTCCCTCAGATGGTGTGGGCATCCTCCAACCGGCTAGGCTGTGCCATCCACACCTGTGGCAGCATCACCGTCTGGGGCAACACTTGGCATCAGGCAGTGTATCTGGTCTGCAACTACGCCATTAAGTAAGTGCCAGCACTGAGGGTCTTGGCGGGGG